TCGTCTACCAGAAACCGATGATCTGATCTACCACTTACGATGTGACAGCAATGACAACAATGTAAACGGTCCCAAAGACATGAAGTTCCGTGTCCCATGGCTGGTCGTTGATGGACCAACCCCTGGAACGTTCAAGGATACAACTTCGTTCTTGGAAAACGTTTGCTATGCCACATCTCAATCCCAACTCACTTCTGAGGATGCTCCACTTGCCTTAAGGACAGTCAACAAAGTGTATCGCAAAGCCGGTCTAAAATCAATGGAGTCAAGCACACGAGTAAGCGCAAGTATGCAGACTATTTCCAAGGACTCTACTCGGGGAAGGACAAGCTGGTTTTCAAGAAGGGATCGATAGAAATTGAAAGAGGGGAAGGAGAAGAAGGCTTTCCAGTAGTAGTACATCAAAAGTCTTCCATCAACCTCCAAAACGCTACTTTTATTGCAGGGAGGGATGCCGTAGCTGTGTACCAACTAATGTCAAGGCCAAATGTGGGCATCCTAGCTATATCTTCCCTAGAATGGGAAGATGATGAGGTAGAGGTCTCAGCGATCCAATCATATTTGGAGATGCTGGCACAGAGAAGCGTGACCCATATCATTATTGATACTACAGGCAATACTGGAGGCTATATCTCTTCTATGACAAATCTGGTTAACGTTTTTTTCCCCTCTGAGGACAAACAAACAAACTCTCACCCGGCTCGCTTCCGACTTATAGCTGAAGTCTCGAAACTAGCGGCTGCTGATCTAGTAAATGCTGATATAGATACTTACTATGAACCGGAAATATTGGCAAATAGGACAACCCAGCAAAAGTTCACAACGACGATTTGTTCCGACAGCCTGTGTCCTTGAAAATCAATGATCGGGTTGCTGAATACACAGATCTGTTTTTTATGGCCGAAGACTACGTTTTACCTCTCAACAATACCAATAACCAGACATTGGCAGGAAGAACACAACATCCATGGTTGCATAATGCTGCCAATATCACGATCCTGACAAGTGGCCTATGTGGCTCTGCATGTGGCATGTTTAGTGACCTCCTTGTACGTCAACATGGGGTTAAGGCTGTAGCGGTTGGTGGCTACCATCATCCAAGGAACAACAACACCACCGGGGATAATGGCAGTGGCAGGAACAACACTAGTGACTATGTGTCTGAGGCTCTGTCCATGTTTTCGTATGCTGGTGGATCGATTATAACATTGGACGAGCTAATTGAGAGCTTTGAGGATTTGTCAGTACTTCCACCTCCAAAATTGATGCGTTTGCCGTACAAGGGCTTTTGCTCCATTCCTTTTATTGAGATCTATGCTGGCAATGACACGATTCCATTAGATTATAGCCCAGCAAGACATATTGCGGCTCATCGGCTTGCCTATACCCCAGAGAATGCATGGAACCGAGACAGCTTATGGACTGCTGTTGCAGACACTGTCTGGGCCATATAAAGATTTTATAGATACATTCATTTCATACCCTGACCTAAATAATAAAAAAAGGCTTTTATAAATATACTGTTTTTACTACGTACAGATCACAAGCATTAAACCTCACTGTCTATTATATATATATACATCTATATACATATATAATGCTGTTATGAATTATAATTATGATGGCGAGAATCAAGTCTTCCTTGTACGTGAGCTAATGAAAAAGAGGTCCACCTTATCTGACGCCAGAAATGAAAAAAAAAAATGGAATGATAGTCGCGTCAGCCAATCAAAATGCACTGTGGAAATCAGATCACATTTTCGAAAAAGGAACACAGTTCCCTTTCTTACACGCCAAATTCTTGGGTAGGATTTACCAGTAATTCAATCAAAATGTGTTCTGATTTGCCTCCACATCCTGTATCACAACCAGTCGACCAGCCTTTCCTGTTTGTCCTGCCAGTTGGTTGTACATGTGCAATCCTCTAATTCTCCAGTCGTTATGCGTGTGAAACTTTTCCTCCTCGTTCTTTCAATGATCAATTACAAGGCATCAATCAATGCTTGAAATGATAAAAAAAAGTAATCGGATCCAATCCAACTAAGCATTCAGGAAGGAAGAGAAGGACAATGGTCAAGTTGTTTAGTAAGAACAGATAATGAGATAGAGGGTCAATGGATAGGTCTGTTCTCTGTGTCATTGTGTGTTCAGTTCACAAACAAACAAACAAACAAACAAACAAAAGGAAAAAAAAGCAGTGCTTATTGACTGTTGAGAAAATGCTATTTTAGATAAAGTTGTTTTCTAACCGTGATTAAGGAGTTTTTGATGTTCTCCCCACACAAAAGATCCCACTTTTTTTTTCTTTTTTTTTCTTTTTTCCTTTTTCCTTCTACAACTCTTTCCTCTTTATCCTTCTCTTCTTACTTATTTCCACTTCATCGCCATGGCTGTGCAGAGGAAACCATCACCTCAAGAGACAAAGGTTGAAAACAAAATCGATGCTCAGGTCGGCAAGACATGGGGACGCGATCGAGGTAAAAATAAAAAATGAACAACACAATAAAGACCCACGAACCCTCTTCAAATAGGAAATGAGTGGAAGAAAAAAAAAAAAAAAAGAAAAAAAAAAAGACTAAGAGGCTTCCCTTTGAACTGGGGTTGGAACGTCCTTTCTTTCTGACTTGTTACCTTCCTCAATTGTTTGCAAATGAGGAATACAAATGGAATCTCCTGAATGAGAAGAAATCAAGAAAGTGAAAACATTGAAATGTGTGCGTTTTCTCATTCATTTCTTTTATTGATTTCGCTAGATGTCTCGTTTGGCACGATCTTGATATCGCTCGGAATTCTGGTTATGTCGCCTTTGTGGGTGATGTACAATACATTTCCTGCAATGCCTATGAATGTGCCATGTCTGCACCTGCATTGGAGGTCTACAACGCGCCTGACCACATGGAGGCTCTCAAAACCCTCCTAATCCGTGAAGTCCCTCGGTTCTCGCCCCATGCTACTCGTATCGCCTTCGGCTGGCTGCTCTTCCAGGCTGCTCTCTATGCCTTCTTGCCCGCCAAGATTGGCTATGGTCAGCGCACCCCTGCTGGTCACCTTTCCCCTACAAGGTAACAAAGAAAAGGAAGAAAAAGGAAAAATGGTGTATTGCTGTATACGACGCACTCCTTTATCAAGCAATGGCGAGGGTTTTTTTTTTTTTTTTTTTTTTTTGCTTTACTGAAACAGAAAAAAACGCGTCTGAATGTGTTTTTTTTTTTTTTTTTTTTTTTTTTTGGTTTCTTATAGGTTAATGGCTTGCTTGCTTGGATCATTTCACACATCATTTTTGCTGCTGGCGGACTGTACTTTGGCTGGTGGAGACTCTCAGTCATTCAGGAGAACTGGGGTGGTCTCTTGCTTGCTGCCAACATGTACGGATACTTCTTGACCTTCTTCTGCTACTTCAAGGCCCGCGTTTTCCCCTCTCATCCTGCTGATCGCAAGTTCTCAGGCTCGTTCATCTATGATCTTTTGATGGGTATCGAATTTAACCCCCGTATTGGCAAGTACTTTGACTTTAAGCTCTTCCACAATGGTCGTCCCGGTATTGTGGCCTGGACTATGATCGACCTTTCCTTTGCCGCAGCTCAGTACCAGAAGATTGGTTATGTCACCAACTCGATGATTCTTCTCATCTTACTCCATGGTACCTATGTCCTCGATTATTTCTACAATGAGGACTGGTACCTCCGTACTATTGACATTGCTCATGATCACTTTGGATTCTACCTCGCCTGGGGTGATGCCGTCTGGTTGCCCTGGTTGGTAAGTACTACCACTAGTTAGTCATAAACAGTGATTCATTAAGCAAGGAGCATGATTATTCACCCTTGGTGCTCATATACATATCCATACCTATATTTCATGCTTATGCTCATTCTCTTTTTTTACTTATTTCATATAATAGTACACTCTCCAGTCACACTATCTCTTCCGCAACCCTGTCGACTTGACGCCTGTGCAATTCGCCATCATCTTTGCCATCGGCTTTACTGGATACTTCATCTTCCGCTCTGTCAACCATCAGAAGGACATTGTCCGCTCCACTAACGGCGAATGCATGATCTGGGGAAAGCCAGCCAAGGTGATCCGTACCTCATTCGTGAACCTCAGATGGAAAGTCCACAGTCTCTCTTGCTCTGCTCAGGTTACTGGGGTCTCTCTCGCCACTTCAACTTGTCGGAGACTTGATGATGGCATTGGCCATGTGCATGACCTGCGTACCAAGCACCTCTTGCCTTATTTTACATCATTTACATGAATATCTGCTCCTTCATCGTATCCAGCGCGATCACACTCGTTGCAAGGGCAAGTATGGCAAGTACTGGAGAGTACGAGAAGCTTTACCATATAAGCTGTTCCCTTACATCTACTAAGACATCCGTCCTTTTAGTAAATGTATAAAAATAAATAAATACGTCAATTATACAGAATGTGTTTCTTATTTTATGGCCGATATATTGGGGTCAAGCTTGTCGCTCTTTTTGGTTAGTCCTTTTCAATTATAAGATTTTGTTAAGTAAACCATTTATATTTGAAAAGGGCTAATCAAAAGAGATCTACTGCCGGATCATTCAACATTTCCAAAGGCCAACGTGAAGGCCTTGAGAAATAAATAGCACCAAGACATTTGTAAGGATGGGGCAAACAACAACAGAGAAAAAAAAAAAAGGTCTGTTTGAGGAGAAACTTCGGAGAAGGACGACAGACGCGTAACGTTGGGGCATTATGAAAATGATCGGTGCGGTAAATAAATAAGCGAAACAAAATGCAGAATAGGTAAGCACATCCTTTTTCTTATTTTTTCCCTCTCACCCCTCTCCCCTTTCTCTCCTTTTCTTCACATTCATTCATTCATTCGTCTTTCATTGCATTCAGTTTAAACGAGAACAACAATATACGGCCATAAGCAATTTTTTTTTTTTTTTTTTTTTTTTTAAATATACGAATAATTCCATCTATCACCTCACCCTCAAGTAACAAAGGAGGCAAAAAAAAAAAAAAAAAAAAAAAAAAAAGATCCAACTGAAACTTTTGCTCATGACTATCTCAAAGAACTCGGCTCTTATCTTTGGCGGCACTGGTGCGGTGGGGAAATGTCTTGTCCGTGATGCTCTTGCCTCCAAGGCTTTCACTCATGTCCTCACCCTTGGCCGCCGCCCCGTCAAAACAGACGACGGTAGTTTTACAAATACAGAAGTGATTGAGCAAAAAGTCGTTGATTTTGAGAACATCACCGAGACATTCCCACAATCGGACTTGCCTCAGGTAGTGTTTTGTACTTTGGGAACTACACGAGCAGCCGCAGGAGGAGCCGAGGGTTTCAAGAAGATTGATCAACAATACGTACTGGACTCGGCCCGTTATGTCCATGAGAAAGCACCAAAAGATCCAGGACCGGACGATCAAAGGTTCATTACCTCTATTGTTCTTCTGCAAATGCGAGTGAGAAATCATTCTTCTTGTATCCCAAGACTAAAGGTGAAACCGAGAATGCATTGGCCGCGATTGGCTTTGAGCGAGTGAGTATTTTCCAACCTGGGTTCCTCAAGCCTGTTGAACCTCGTGAATCTGGTAACCGGTTCGCAGAAATGGCAGTTGATCTGCTTATGCCGGTAGTGGATTTGTGGCGAGAAGAAAGCAAGTGTCGGTGTAGATAAGGTGGCGAAGAGCATGCGCTAGTCGGACCTCAGATACGGTGGAAGTGGTGGGCGTGACACCAAGCAGGGTTGAAGTTCATCCAAAATCCAAGACACAGGTGGCTTTTTACAGCAATGCTGATATTCACGACATAGTCAACAACGCGTCAAAGTTGTAAATTGCAGATGAAAAGAAACCTACGGATTGATCTTAATCTCTGAAGTAGCATTTATCCGACTTGTGCTAGCACTCCTATTTTGTGTATGCCACCACTTCTTCATTAACTAAGAAAATAAAAGTATGAAATATAGTTAGTCTTAATAATTCATGGACTGATTGGTTGGAATCGAAATGATAGGACAAGTATGCAGTGTAATAAAGATTGATATTCTTTCTACCATTTGAGGCAGGAACTATGGAGCAATCGAGTTTAAAACAGGAAGGAAAACAAAGAGATGGAGGTATCTTTGGACATACCCCATGTGACATCTGCCCAAAATAACTCAACATTAGAATTCATGATAGAGGATATGCCACCAAAGACGCGAGACTCCACAGGTCAGGATGTGATGATCCGAAGAGGTGAGCTCGGCTCTAACGCTTCGAAAGAGAATTGGGCGAAGGAAGCTCTGTAGAAACGCCCAATTGATGACTAGATCTGTAGATAATAGAGATAGGACCATTGAGATTGAAGGCGCGGTTATAATGTTTCTCGTCGAGCATTATTCATTTTCACAAATTAGCAGATCGTTTGATAATTCTCACACATGGTTAAGGTGGCTTACATGAGATGGCAGTGAAACGTTGAAGTGAGCAAAACTATTGGTCAATTATATTCTGCTCGAGGTTTTGGGTATGGGGTTTATCATACCTTTGTTTTATTGTCTTCAATAAATTAGGCACAGAGAAATGGTGTCATGAAGCATCTCCATTGGAACCTCTATATTGTCCCTTTGATTTCCATTCGGTGCTCGAGCGAGACTGTGAGAGTATTTTCTTCCACCCTTTTAGGTCAATTTTCTCACAATTAATGCTACATGGGAAACTTGAAGGCGTCCCTGAATGCTTTGCATTTGAATCTGTATCCTACATCCAATAAGGATTGAATCGACCGTCTCTACTCCCAAAAAAACTGATAGTAATATATACATCTGTATTTATTCTTATTATTCTTCTTCTTCTTCTTCTGTTTCTTTTTTCCTTCTCGCCAACTCAGCTTCGTTCTTCGTTTATAGACAAACTCCATCTACCTACTCATCTATTTATTGCAGTGTTGTATCCATATCATGACCTATCCTGACGCAACTGAACACCCTGCAGTCACTCGTTTCCGCGAGTATTTGCGAATCAAAACTATGCAACCCACCCCCGACTATGCTGGTAGTACTGCATTCCTGATTCGTCAGGCAGAGGAGATTGGTATTCCATACCATGTAGTGAGTTGGGTAATGACCATGACAAACATTTGTTGGAACCCTCATTCTCATTCTCTTGCAATAAACTCATTTCTTTTTTTTTTTTTTTTTTTTTTCTCTTTTCTGATTCCATAAAAAAAAGTGTGTGAAGGGTAAACCAACGGTGTTCATGACTTTGGAAGGTCAAGACCCTAGTCTGCCTTCACTCCTACTCAACAGCCACACAGATGTGGTGCCTGTCTTTCTCGATAAGTGGACCCAGGATCCATTCGCAGCTAACAAAGTAGATGGCTTTATCTATGCCCGTGGATCCCAAGATATGAAATGTGTTGGCAGCAGGTAAAAAGCGAAAAAAAAAAAAAAAAAAAAAAATTCACTTGAGTTGAATGGAATGTCTAACATTTTCCTTGTTTCATTTTTTTTATGTATTGTGATAGTTATCTCGAGGTCATTCGCCGCTATCGTGCTGCAGGAAAGAAGCCGCTCCGAACTATTCACCTTACATGTGGTCCCAGGCAAGAGCAATTTCGTAGACTTTATTTTAATTATTTTTTGTACAATAATTGTTTTATTTTGTGGCGTGAGAGTTCACATCAATGTTGTGGTAGCGCAAGCATTCAGTTTTACCCGTCTTCTCACAATTGCCCTTGATTGAAGGAGAGAGGGTTGCATTTACACTAAGAAAAATCACGCAAAAAAAAGACATGCCGCCTACTGCGTAACCTTACCTTATTTGGTCTGATAGTTACACAATTGCAGTAACTAATCAAATAATCATTAATCTGTGATCAATAGAGGAGGAAGTCGGAGGCGTCGAGGGCATGAAGTTACTTGTACATCAATCCAGATTTTAAACGTCTCAATGTTGGATTCGCCTGGATGAGGGTATTGCGCCCAAGAATGCACTGAAGGCTTTTATGGTGAGCGTATGCCATGGTGATCAAAATCACAGCTACAGGCCCTACAGGTCATGGGTCGCAATTCATCCAGGATACTGCCCCCTCCAAGCTGCTCAAGGTGATTGAGAAGTTTATGGAGCTGAGAAATGAGCAAGAGAAGTTGCTTGAAGTTGGATTGCATCACAATGGCAAGCGCTACACACTTGGAGATGTCACTACCATTAATCTGACTTTCTTGCAGGTAATAATATTTAAATATTCAGTGGATCAACCAGGGTTACATACCTTATCAATGATAGACTTAAGCATTATGCTCATCATTTTTGATTAACAAATCACATCAATTCTAGAGCGGCGTTCAATTCAATGTTATTCCCATGAAAGCTACTTGCGGATTTGATATCCGTGTAAGCCCCTTCTTCGATATGAAGGAATTCCAGGCTAAACTTGAGAGCATGGTTGCATCTCAGCCAGGGTAAGGAATAAAATATAAATAAAATAAAATAAGGGAGCCTTTTCTTTTCCTTGTTAAGTTATGAATGCTTGCGGATGAAAATAACAACGACTTTTTTTTTTTTTTTTTTTTTTTTTTTTAGCGTCACCATGGAGTTTGTCAATGGCCATTTTGACAACACACTTACTTCTATTGATGAATCTAACATCTGGTGGAAGGTTTTCAGTGAAGCCTGCAAGAGTATGAACGTAGAGTATGAGACTGAGATTTTCCCAGGTAAGAAAAAAAAAAAAAAAAAAAAAAAAACTACTTTGCCATGGCAACTGCTTTTTGTTACAGCAAAAAGACTATTTAGCTCTTTAATATTAAACTCTATCCTTTTCCTACATTAACATAAAAAAATTAGCTGAACGGATTCACGTTATCTCCGTGAAGTTGGTATTCCAGCCTTGGGTGTTTCGTATCTCAAGAACACGCCTTTGTTGTTGCACGATCATGATGAGCGTATGCATGAAGATATCTTTTTGGAGGGCATTGACTTTTACGAGACTTTAATCTCGCGTCTTGCTAATATTACTGCTGCTGAAGTCGAGGCCACTCTTATCAAGTAGACAAAAAAAAAAAAAATGCTTTTGTGAATCCGTTGGACACACATTCACATAAATATATTCATCGGATTATCCATATTATTTTATAAAAGTGATCCATGACAATAACGTAGATATTTAACTCAGGGAGAGTGAACCATTCGAAGAAAAGTTAAAAACAATTTTCACGTCATAAATAAAGAGAATATTTCTTCACTTTAGTCAAAAAAATAAAAAAAAAAGCTTCTTGAACTTGAATGAGAAGTCGTGTAACTATGTTATTTCCGAGCAAAAATGTTATTTCCAAGCGAATTTTCAACTGTCGACCATCAAACTTTTTTAATAGTGAAGTGATCAACTTTCTTTTTTTACAATTACCACATCACTCCTTTCGAACACCTTTCTCTCTCTCTTTTTTTTTTTTACACCGGTTTTATAATATATAATGGATAAGCGCAGGGATCCACCAACATCAGAAGGGGCGCTTGTGAAACGCCAGAAAGCAGACGAATCTGGTGCACAATCGAATGCTGTCACGATCCAGACAAAGGGAGCCAGTGGAGCACTTGTTCAAACTGTAATGGATAAAGAAAAAAAAAAGTCAATACGGGATGAGAAGAAGGAAATATACTCATTATCTAAACAAACGAAGTGATCGCTGGATAGCATTATAGACACGGAAATCCCTTTTTTTCTTTTACTATTATCATAAAAAAAAAAGTCATGGATCATTGGATTTGGTGGCTAATATCACTTAAAAATACATATAACATTAGGTCAAGAGAACGTCCGCGCTCAAGGCTCCAATATTGTTATTACAGGGTCAATCAGAATTCCATACTTGCAAGTTCAGTCCTTCAGGAGAGCATATTGCATCTGCAGGAACGGGAGGCAATATTAGTAAGTTTTTTTTTTTTAATCTTTTATCTTTTTTCTTCTTAAAAAAATGAATGAATAAATAAATAGAAATATAAACTACCCAATGATCCTTAATCATTATTGTTCTCATTAATAAATACACGTCAGATCTTTGGAATACATATGGAGATTGCAATAACTATGGAGACATCAAAGGACATTCAGGAACTATTTCGGAGCTTCATTGGTCGAGAGACAATAGGTATATCAATTATGGACATATAAATGCAGGAAGATATAATTGTAAACAAGCATGGAATGTTAACATTTGAGGGAAAAATAGGAAGCGAAACCACTCACAGTTAATACTCTTTTTTTTTTTTTTTTTTTTTTTTTGTATTAATTTGATTGCAGTATGATTTTTACGGCTGGTACAGACAAAAGCTGTGGTGTTTTTGATGTGCAGACGGGCGAAAGAATTAAAAGATTTAAGGGTCATTCAACATTTGTCAACAGTTGTTCACCAGCAAGAAGAGGACCCGAATTGCTTGCTAGTGGATCTGATGATGGTTCAGTCAAGGTATATGGAAAAAATTAAAAAAAAAAAAAGCACGAGAGACCCTAGAGACGGTGATACTGGTTCTTTATTATATAATATATGTGTCTATTGTTTTCCAATATTTCTAATGAAACACCTAAAACGCGTTTTTTTTATGCTTTCTCCTGATATTTCTCTACTAGATTTGGGATCTTCGATCCAAAAATGCAGTTGAAACATTTGAGTCGCCCTATCAGATCACAGCGGTCTCATTTTCGGATGCAGGTGATTTGGTATTTGCAGGAGGGATTGATAATACGATTGCAGCATGGGATTTGCGGAAGAAGGCGGTTTCATATTCGTTGGTGGGACATCAAGATACAATTTCGGGGATTAGTTTATCACCGGATGGTAATCAGCTTTTGTCGAATGCAATGGATAACACGGTGAGGACCTGGGATGTAAAACCGTTTTCAGCAACGGGTAATCGATTGCTCAAGACGTTCGAAGGCGCACCGCATGGGTTTGAAAAGAACCTAGTCCGTCCTGCATGGTCGAAAGATGGAGCCATGATTGGGTAGGCTCTGGAGACAGAACCGTCGTCATCTGGGCACTGTGACACGTAAGATCCTCTATAACTGCCAGGACAAGGGATCTGTCTATGAAGTAGACTTCATCCAAAAGAACCTATTGGTAAATATAGAATTGTTGCATGGCTTTGATATTTTTATATTTCTATTGTTTTTATTTTTTTACTGGTTCATATATGTATACTTTTACTAACTTTTTCCTTTCCTTTTCGGCTTATTATTTTTCATGATTATGGATGCTTCCCGAATAATAGTTGTTTCATGCAGTTCAGATAAAACTATGTTCTTGGGAGAAATCAATCCAAGCAAGTAACATTAAAAAAAAAAAAGATAGACAGAGATCGGAGTTGAGTGAGTGAGTGAGAGGGTCAATTTGACGAGTAAAATCAAGGATTGATAAAGATATCAAAAATAGACATTTCTTAGGCCTTGCATTGCATTGATTTGCTTTTTTTTTTTTTTTGTTTTTTGTTCCATGGTATATACGTATAATCGTCACATCCCCGCCGAAACTTCGAATATGCTCAAAGTTTGATTAAACTCTTGTGAAAAAACAGCACTGTGCATGTACTTGAAGCTCCACGAGGCTCTCATGCATCAGTAAGTTGGCCATCTCTGGAAAAGAAGGATTAGACCAGCATATGTGCATATTCCAAGCACGAACCTTTGCCTAATTTCTTTCCTTGTTACAAGGCGCCCGACAACTTTTACCGTGACCTCGAAGGTACTTGGAGGCAAGAAGGGACCATGAGCAATTTCGGCATTAAGCCTAGCTTTAAACAAGGGGAGCCTTATTGGAGAAATACACCTTTATCAACAAAGGGGTTGTCCAAAGCCAAGGAAGTTGGAACAGACGAAGCAATTTCCAATAAGCTGTGTTTCTGAATTCCTGGCTGTTGATTCGTCAACTGTGGTCCAAATCTTATAGAGAGGAAGGGCTGTGTATGTTTCCTGCAGGGGCGTGTTCTTTCTCCGAGCTCTTAATTAATTCTCCGGATGTTTGTACTATGGTGGTAGTACGTACATGTACGTCTACAATTTTACGACGCGTAACAGCAACAGTAACACGAAACATTTTCCATGAGAGCGTGCATATGCCATGTACATGTATACAAAACGTTTGGATATGTGAGCCTTTGACTTTTTTTTTAAAAAAAAAAAAAAAAAAAAAAAAATTTGGTGAGACGTCAAGTGATCTACCGGTTAACTGGCACCACTGATCAAAAGTAAAAGAAGAAGAAAAGAAGGAAAGAAAAAGAAGGAGGAAAGAAAAAATGAAAAAAAAAGAAAGGGTCTCTCAAGGTCCTTCTTTTCTGGTATCATTCGAAACTCAATCCGGTGTTGTAATAGCCACGTTGTACATGTACACAGGAGAGGCAAATAAAATAAGAGTAAAAAAAGGTTCGAATAAGCATCTGCGAAATAAAATAGAAAAAAAAATAAAAGAGGTTACCCAATTTTGAATCTGAACCAATGGCAATCCAACGCAGCAAGAATGGTAATACATTTTCCTGGCCACAATTTCTCAGGAACATAGTTTCTCATCATGTTGAGATATAAGGGTTTTAGGGTCTACAATTTTCACCTGTGAAGCATTATTCATCAATGTGTGTTACCTGGTCTTGAATATGGATCCTTCTTTTTTTTTTTTTTTTTTTTTTTGCCTAATGCTTTCTTGTTAAACTGATATCCGTTGATTAAAGACAGATTTGGCATACACATAAAAAAGGGACGTCAATAGAGTGTAGGGAATAATGTAATGCTGCACAACGCAAGGGTCATTAAAGACAAACACTATTTCTAAGAACGAAGCACATGCCTGCGCGTATTTTGAAGAAAGAAAGAGAGAAAAAATCATTCGAACATCTTTCCTAACATCAAAATATTAAATACAGACACCATCTCCTTTTTTTTTAAGGATCACAAGTGTGGAAGAAAGGAGAAAGGTATGACATCAAAGACTACGAATCAAACACCAGATAAAGTGAAACAATAAAGAGCTTAGAAAACCATTGAAGGAAGGTTTCCACGGGGAGTTATGGATGTACAGAATTTCTTGAGTAGGGCAAGGTCGGTGTCGGACTTACCTGCTTTTCCTGCAAAGGACCTTAATCTTGTCGTTTTTCTTTAGCAATTAGGTTACTTGGGTGAGAGTAATAAAGAAAGTTAGGGCGGACCGAACCATGCAGGTCCCACTTCCATTCTCTCTCATCCTCATACACGGAACATTGAGGTCCTTTTTTTTTTTTTTTTTTTTTTTTTAACTAGACATTGTTCTTTGGAGTATTGGTGTGATCTTTTCTTTTACTTCTTTCTCCATCTTTCCTTTTTTTTTTTTTTCTTTTTTTTTTCTTTTTCAGTTTTTAGGCTTTTCAAGCTTTTTCTAATTCTTTTTATTTTTTTGTTGTTGTTGCATCGAACATTTACACTTTCTAAACCTTCTCGTTAAAACCTTTTCTCTTCATAATCTCATTGTTCTTGACATCGAACCTTACTCCTCCTTCTATTGCTCTCCTCATTGATTCGTGTTGATTACAATAACGGTGAGTACTTCACAGTGCTTCACCATTATCTTCTTCTTTTCGCTGCACCGTTAGAATATTTAACGCACAAAGATCTGATCCACAAGACCCATTGTTTATCTAAAAAAAAACAAATGAAAAAGAAAAGCGGCTTTAATACATCAAAAAAGTCTTTTCTTTTTTATTTTATTTCTTGTTTCCTACAAGTGCCCTCATCCATTCCTCTCATTGCATCTCATCGTTTTGCTCATTCCTAAAAGTCCTCTCATTCCACACTTTTGGTTTTCTGGACTTGTTCTTGCAAGAAATTTTTACCCTAAAATTTTTACGCTCGCAACAAGATCAAGGCTGAATTAAAGTATTTAAAAAGAGCACTTTCTTTTTTTTTTTTTCTGAATCTCCCCCTAAATTTGTATTGAATTGATTGTCATCCTTTGAACAAACAAAGCTGCAAATCAAAGTACTTTGCTCAGGTTGGTTCACACATTGTTTATTTTATCCTCATCCCTCCCGCGCCCTTTTCATATTTGCACGTATGGCCATTGGCCCTGTTCAGTTACGTATTTGCAAATAAGTGAACCGTAGTACAGTACAATAAGCACATCTGTAGCCATTTCATAGGCTCATCGCTGGAGGCAGCGCAAAAGGACACTGAACTGAATTTATAAGCTTTCGTGGCATTTTTACAATTGCTCCGCATTGTCCTTGGTAACTTTATCACACCATCACACTATCACACTATCACACTATCACACAGAAGCATATCCATTACGGCGTGTCTTTCGGACTAAAATGCATATTTCTTTCCCGTCGAGAATCTTTTTTTATGCGCTCCACACTATATCTCTCCCTATCTCTTTATGGGTATCTATAAGTGTTTCTATTCTTTCGGGACCCATTTATTTTTTGTGGATCTTTTTTTTTTTTTTTTTTTTTTTTTTTTTTATCCCTAGCCATACTCCCTTTTTTTTTTGTCCGCATGGTCGAAGCGGGGATTGCTCTTTGCCAAAATATTGTTTTTTATTTGTGCTTCAATGTCCTTTATGAACACACCACTACCCTCTTTATTTTTACTTTATTTATTTATTTCTTTATTTCTGTTTTTTTTTTTTCTTTTTTACGGAAGATCAGGGAGCTCTTGTTCATGCAATGATATACAATAATGCGGGTACAGGAAGGACCATTAGGGAAAAAGAAGAGTTAAGAGCGCATTGTGAGACGTATTGCTTCTCCTTACTGACACCAAAAGGCCAACATGTCATCGTTTCTCTCCGCTCCAAAAACACAAAAAAAAAAAAAAAAAAAAAAGAAAAAAAAAATAATCAGGGAGACTAGCCCAACACACGCCGCTGCCATATTATTTCTGTCACTCTTTTTTTTCTTTTCTTTTCTTTTTTTTTCTTTATTACTTCTTTTTATTTTGAACAACCACTTCCAGATCGAAAGAACATTGAGCTGTCCGGCTGTAGTCTTCATTGTAATTTAAGCCTTTAATTATGCTTATGTATGATGCACTGTCGATCTCTGTCTTTTACGAAATGATCCAAAGAAAGACGTAACTGAGCTTGTTTTTCGGTTGGAACAGAAAAATATTGGTGGTTGGAGGCATCTTATGGTCCCTTAAAAAAATAAATGAACGTTGGGAGGGACGCGGACAGGGATAAGATGGGTGACAACCCAAAAAAAAAAAAAAAAAAAAAAAAAAAAGGGACCTTTGGGAGAAGTATTAAAAAAACTGATATAAATAATAAATAACATTACATTGAGAAAAATGGAGCTGAGTGTGTAATATGTGAGTCGTAATGTCACCATACGCACCGCGCGCTCACTTTCCAGTCCTCATCAGACGCTAACAGAATCTCATTTCCTCATCCATTCACCTTTCTCATCTGCAGTCCCTCCAAGAGAGTTTTCCAATCAACCCTATCTGTTTAAAACCTGGTCCTTATCAGATTTATTATGAGTATTGTCGAGACATTTCACGGTTATGTCGAGACGACCCAAGACACACTCCTTATCTTTGAAGCGTGTCGTCGAGGCCTTCTGCCTCGCATTTGTCGCCGCCTTCAGGAGAAAGAGCGCCGTATAGTCCAGTCGGGAACCGTCTTTGTCTTTGATGAGCGTGAATCGGGTATTAAACGTTGGACTGATGGTCTTATCTGGTCACCCTCGCGAATCCTTGGGAACTTTCTAGTCTACCGCGAGCTAGACAAGCGTAGCAACGGCAGGAAGGATACCCGCCTTCCGAGCGAGCCTCCCGCTCTAGTCCAAGTGACATAGAGTCTGCGGTCGAAAAAAGCAAGGAACGCGCGCTTGTTGGATCTCTAACGAATTCTTATCACTTCAAGAAAAACGGTTTGATCAAGAAGACCATGTCCATCGTTGTCAATGGTGTCCCTCAGCATATGATCTCGTACTATTCCAGGGAAGACGTTCTAGGAGGGAGACTTCGTACTCCTTCGTCTGTGCCCGAGTTGGTAGGCCTTGAGATCAGTCCGGAGTTTTTAATCAAACAAAACTTTCGTATCCCCCTACTGTAGAGCAACCATATGAACGTAAGAAAACAGCACACTTGATTCTATGGACGTCTAGCAGAGTGCCTTATTTCAATTCATCCGCGAGCATTAACATGATTTATTCTTTTTTTCTTTTTCTGCATAATAATTTAATAAAGTCCTTAACAAGCCTGGATCATCTGCTCAAAATCAACACTCTAGGCCTGTTAGCGGGTCCTTTGAGCACACAGTCGGCCCAAATAATGATTTCTCACCTGTTACCTTTGGCCACAATAATTTGAATCTAAGAATCGAGACAGATATTACAGAGAGTTCAGCTATGAGCCCTTTATCAAATCTTATCATCAGCAATCTACTCATTCGGTGCACTCTCAGCAAGGAGCTTATCAATCCATTCAATCACATCTTGGTGGAGCACATCAACAGCATCGACACCATTTACAGCAACAGTCGCAGCGGCATACCCAGCATCCTTACAAATAGTACTTCATACTTCTCGGCCAACGCTGGATACAATTCTGCCTCTAATAGTAACAGTAGTTCCAGCGCGCTTCCGGAATCACCATCCTCGCTCCGATACATGTCTCGCAGCCAAGAGCTTTTAACATATTCAGGTCAGTCTCCTTCGTCTCAACCCTCCGGTTTCTCCGCAACAGGGTCCGACATATCATCATCACCATCAGCAACAGCAGTCACCACACATAATGTCTCATCAACGGCATCTTTCATCAAGCCAGTATAATGGTGGCTCGCCGGGCCCATGATGCCAGCCAGTCCCACAACCCCTGGTCCTAATCCTCAGGATTTTGGGCTTACAATGGGATATCAGTCTCCAGTCCAACGAGCGGCGCTAATACATTTGGTGGCGCTCCCTCGGATATTAATAATAACCACTCTCAGATGCCACAGCAGCCACAGCATACACATCAGCAGCAGCAGCATCACCAGCACTATCAAAATACACAGCCACCGCCAAGTACGCAAGGCTGGAGTGACTTTAATTACCCATCTTATTCTACAACGACTGCCCCTGCTAGCTTAGGACCCACTATGGATCATCCCAGCCAGCAACGTGGTCCACGCAACGACTCTTCTTGATATACAAAACCACGTGGAGGGGGTTTTTTTTCTTAAAAAAAATTAATTAAAAAATAGTTTGTGAAATAAACAGAGCAAAGTTTCTTAGAATGTTATGCCAGCTATGGTTTCTGAGGCGTAGTTGTTCTGGAATAACGGAAAGATCCAGCAGAGCTGAGGAAATTAGTCCACACGATGAAAGCTCCTGAAATTGTGGTATATCAAATTCATGCATGAGCTCTTTGTTTTTGGACCAGAATTCTGCCTCCCAGATCTGCTTGTGACTGTGATTCAGGTTTGATGTTAATGAACGCGATTAATTTGAAAAAGCCACTTGGCGCTGTGTAATAGGTGAATGAAATACATATTCCTTACGCACCTCTTTTTTTTGACTCCCCTTTCCTTCACTCTCACATGTGCTTCACAAACTGCTGTTTCCTCTTTTTTATTTGATTTGATTATATAACAATTCAGAACAACCTCCTTTACCACCTTCCTATTTTTCCCATTCAATTTGAAGAAAAAAAAAAGTGCGTAAACAACACGCTATTTTACTGCATCATCCGTCCATCTATAGTTCTACTCACTTTGAAAACATTCATCTCCCCATCACTTCTCCCCTTTTTCTCTTCAATAGAATTACACTTTAGAAAAGAAAGCAAAACAGCAAGTAATCTTCAGCCTTTAGCCCTGCGACTTGAACAAAACATATATAAATATACACGTACACATCACAAACTATCACATCACATCTTTTTCCATCTCTCTCTCTCTCTCTCTCTTCTCTCTCTCTTCTCTCTCTCTCTCTCTCTCTTTTTTTTTTATTTTTTATTTTTTTCTTTTTTTCTTTCTTTCTTTTCTTCATTTTTAAATCAACAACATACTCTCAATCACATCCCCCATTACCCGCAAAACATTCTATCTTTTACTGCATATTCAAGTCGTCCTTTCTTCCGCAACTCTCATTTACCTTTGGATATTGATTAAACACAAGCAAGTACAAGCAAGCACAAGCAAGCAAGCACAAGCAAGCACAAGCAAGCAAGCACAAGCAAGCACAAGCGAACAATACTTCATCTAGGCTTTAATACATTCACATTCACTCTTTTTTTTTTCCTCTGCCACAACCTCAAAACAAAAAACTATCAAAAGCAATCTTTTTTTTTTTTTTTTTTTTTTTTTTTAATATTCGTATTTTTATCCAACGGACCTACTCAGTTTACCCAGCAAAAGTCCCAGCAGCAACAACAACAGGAACAGCGATAGTACAATAACAAAGGTCTAAGGAGCTATCACGTTGAGATCGAGATCATCTTTTTTAAACAAAACAATACACTCCATTTCAGCCCCCGAAAAAAACATATACGGCCAGGCACCACAGTTCGTAACAGGCGCATATCAATTCGTCGTAGCCTTTGCACTTTATTATAATTATCGAGATTACCAAGCACATATTTGCAAACGCACCTCTTTTATCAGTGCTAAGCTTTCTCTTTCCAATTTTTCATATTTTTTGTGTATTGGTTGACCACTTACCCATAACTGTGGACGATGATTACAGTGCCATCGCAGGAGCTTGCAACCTTTCTCGGGAATCATCTCGACCAAGTGCTTCAGCAGAGTGCGCTCGAATTTTCACAGACTTTAGCGGCGAATCGGCAGTTCAAGGCAGGATGTGCACTCATGGATGTTTTGAACGCTGTCGAGTCTGTTCAGGAACGGATACGAGCATTTCTACAGGAACGGAGAAGAACACTAGTGCCAACCAGAAAGATCTTGTGGCTTCAGAGGTAAAAAAAACTATTCTCACTATCCAGATCCATTCATCGTTTACCTGACCTAACAATCATGATATTCAGTTGGTTGGCTTGAAATTGAGATATCTCTTACATTTGCATTATATTTGTATCTTTCCTTATCGTTCTATATATTCGCTCGCATAATGATGATGATAATTATTGATATGTGTGAATCATGAGGAAATCATCAAGTTTGTTTGATTTCTGAGATTGGAAAGGCTTTTTTTTTTGTTTACATGCACGCTATGTCAACGGTCATCAACCTCAAATTTAGACGTTTTCTTTTTCTCTCATTTCCTGTTTTGCTCAACTTGTATAGCGGACCTGGTTTTTATTTCATTACTTTTAACATTAAAATTTACCAACTTTTTTGTTTTTGTTTTGGTATCTGATCATAGCCGCTCAAGATCCGAATAACGTCTTTGTATTTGCTCTACAGTTTGTACAGCCGCTTTCCGATCCATCAGAATCCATTCCTTTGTCTTTTCATGGACATTTATACCACATCTCTACAAGATGAACAGCAGCGGCCAGAGCGCTTTGTCGTCAGTGTGATCCTCAGTGGCGATGGAGAAGAGGTAATAAATCAGACCATGGATGTTATTTCCTGTCCATAATTGAGAGATGCAATACCGAAAATTACATATGGTTTATTAAGTTGTCTTCCTCATTATGTATTAAACATGATAGCTAGCTCCCAGTACTCCTTCAGAGCTAATCACAATCGCACATGAGGTCGAATCAAAGCAAATAAACTTTCAGCGTTTGGAAGATTTCTTCCAGAAGTACCACTGGAGGAGCAAGTCACCCTAGGATTAGGTTGGGAAAGTGTTGGACGCCAAAAAGCGGGTCACCATAAGGAAGTCTGGGAATCATTAAACTTGCTGGACAAGTTGGATGGCTCAGGATATTCATTCAAGAGAGAACAACATGGAGACGACGGGAGCTCTACAGCTATCATAGGACAACCGGGAGCAAACAACGGTTTAACAGAGAATCTACGTCAGTTCTTTGGCCACAAACCAAATACAAAATAATGATGATAATAATAATAACGGAGAGGACGAGGAAGAAGAGCTTGAAGAATGGGAAATTGAAGCTGAGAAGCATTTTCAGGATGCAGAGGATGCAGCCCCTGCGCCAGCAAAAGTCAATGTTAGAGTTAAAAAGCCTGTAGAGGTTACTGTCAATCGCCAACAGCTAAACGCCATCATGGAACAGGCTGCTGTGCAACCACTGACGTTTGATCAAGAGCAGGTACATGGCATCGACATCTTGTTCGGATGAAACAATAATTTAAAATACCAAAGGCTTTATTTGTTGACCTATTTTTTTTTTTTTTTTTTTTTTTTATGGCCAATACGCAGTTTATGCTTTCTCAGTTTAATACGAACTCTACCAAAGTTCACATCCCACTTCCACCTCCGAGACTCTTCCAGGGATCGTTGATAATAATCCATCGATCGCGTTTAATTTGCTGTTGTATTTGATTCAACTTTCATCGGATCTGGATGGAACCGATATTTCTGGGACAGCATCAAAACTTAACGGCAATACTGGAACCCCAGGCAAAATTAGTGCAAAGAGTAGCAATTTTAGCAGTCCGGAGCCTTCGATCGTAGATGCATACTTGGACACGATGACCCACGCCAAACGATTAACTCTTCATTCACTAGAGGTAGTGAATCGATTGACTGGAGCCACAACACTTTCACCTCGCTTTCTTCACGCTTATATTGAAAACGCAATCCGATGCTGCGAACTAGTGGACGATAAGGTTGGGCAAGCTCGCGTCGTCCGTATGGTAAGTTTCCAAACCTTTCACATGTTAATTTTAAGTAATTTATTAAAGATAAAAGGATATATATATATATAAAGGTATTAAGAGAAATTATTGTTGCTCTACTTTACATCATAGTTGTGTGTCTTCTTGCAATCGCTTCTACGGAGTGGGGCTATCACTATCGCAGGATATTATCATGCTTTGCAGAGTTTTTGTGTTCAGTTTGCAAGAGTCAAGAGGTTGCAATCCTATTCCAATCACTGGTAGAGTATCAGAGGAAAATGGATGCACCATCACCTTCTCCAGTACAAACACAAGGTCCCTCTTTCCGTGGATCGCCACAGCAGCAACAACAACAACAGGCATTTTCACGTCAATCTACTCAGTCCGCATCCGTACCCTCAACTCCTACTACTGATACTCCTTCACGGTCGTCCTGGCTAGCCAGTTCAGGGTCTATCAGTAATGTTAAATCGACCCTCAGCAAGCATAGCTCCTTGAACGGGTTTTCGACTCCGGGCGTGCTTTCACAGTTCATTCATCCAGGACCAGCTTCATCCGTAAACAACAATAGCAGTAGCCAACATTCTGCTCTAATGGTACAGGCAGTGGTGGATCCCACTTCAAAACTCACCACAAGCACTCGAGTCAACATTCCTCGTCATCGGGAACACTATTTTCTTCACCAACAGTAATGTCAGCTTCTGTGAATGCTTTTAATTCGGGATTAGGAAATCCTACGAGTCTAACACTCAATGGTGGTAATAGTGGGAGTAATGGACAAAGCGGATTCCGTGCGAGGCCTGGATCGGGCGCACCGTCAGGATCGACGTCAACGCCGAATTCAGCATCCATAGATGGCTCCTATGACCTTGACGCAGCATTGAGAGCGAGTCTAAGAGATATGGAGGCCCGCGGAGGAGTATCTTCGACAGTCAGTGGTTCTACAAGCTCTAACCGAACATTAAGCAATGGACAATATCAACAGCAACAGCAACAGCAGCCGCAGACGATCCATTTAGGACCCAAGGGGCTTAATACCACATCTCATTTCAACCAAGCTCGAGGACGAGGCGCACGCCGCGGTGGTTGAAACAGCATCTCACTTGTAATATAGTTTCATTTCATGATTTTTTCTTTTTTTTTTTTTTTCCTTTCTTTCTCTTTTTTTTTTTTTTTTTTTTTTTTTTTTTTTAAGAATTTTTTTATATATTTTTTGCCACATTAGACAAACCACCATTGTATATTATTAAAGAAATAACTGTTGTCTGTGCTAAAAAAAAATGGCGTACCTGCAGCGGCCATTTTGTCTGAACGACTGCGCAGTTACAGCGCACAGACATCTCAGTTCAGGAAATCGCTTAATTTAGTGGCGTATGTCGGACCTGCAATAGCACTGTGGTGTAGTGCTCCACCTAACATGATCGTCTTCCATAGACGCAAAACTGTTAATTAACTGATATGAGATTAAGAATGAAAGAAGAGTGTAGGGATGGCCATGTGATCAAGTTTGTCTGAAGGGAAAAAAAAAAAGGATCTAAGCCATCCGCGCGTTGTCTGGCACAGAGAGGGCTCTCTCGGGTTTTCGGATACTTTCACTGTTGTCCTCTCGGACTTGTCGAGGAGAATCTCATGTCTCCCCGCTCTTGTGTATAAAAACTAAAAGTTTTGACTTGCTCATCTTTCTCTTTCTCTCTCTTTTTTTTTTTTACTCATCTCATTCCTTCACCTCATCGTCACCTTCTCCCTTCGAATCCTCACTCCACTCTACATAAATATGATCGGATCCCGTGTTCTCCTCCGAGCTCCCTTGGCAATTGTTGCTCGCCGCGCAGCTTTCACAACCTCGGCTCGTGTTGCCACCCGTGCCTATTCTTCCCAAGCTTCTGCTCCCTCTAGTGGTTTCGGCTCCAAGTTAGCTTTTGCTGTCCTTGGTGCTGGAGTTGGTGCTGCTGGCTATCACCTTTATCTTGAGAATGAAAGTAAGTTTGTATAGGATCATAGTGGAGAGATTACAAAAAAAGAAAAAAAAAAAAAAAATAACAGCAATAATTCAGGCACCAATCTCCCCGTGGACAGAGTAGTTTAAATTTTTTTTACCCCTCTGCTGCGCAGTGCCTAAAAATCCGAGATTCGCGTCTTGGACACCAAGAAAAGAATAATTTTGAAACATAAAAGAACGAAGAAAAAGTTATTTCTATACACTTCAGCTCTTATCTTCCCAACCTGAACTTGAGTGCTGTCTTTTTTTTTTTTTCTTAACGTTGTCATATGGGGAAGAAACTGTGTGCAGTTGGAGGCAGAAACTCTTCGGGGCAAAGTTTAAATTTTCTTATGCCTTCGATCGGAAGAGGGAGGAAGAATTTTGTATTTTGTTGAGTAAGATGGTTACATGACTGATCTTGTTATCCATTGTGTATCAACCCATCTCTTGTAACTCTATACTACACCAGACTACAAAAGTATCTTTATTCCAAGTAGGAGTTGATCAAACATTTGTACTCCAGTCACCATATCTTATTTTATATATTTATCTTTCCCTGTTCCCTGTTCACTGTTCCCTGTTCCGTGTTCACTTTTGAATGCATTTCGGGAATATTAATATCTTTTACTTTTCCCATCTCATCTCGGAGGCGTTGCTCCTTTTCTGATATTTTCCTGGTCACTAACTTTGTTTTGAAATTCAAATCCGTTTCAACAAAACTCTCAGATTCTTCGCTTCCTAAGGTCGCAGCCGCTACTGCTGAGAAGCCCAAGGAGCCTCTTGATTACCAGAAGGTCTACAACGCCATTGCTGCCCTCATTGAAGATGATAACTACGATGATGGCTCATATGGTCCAGTCTTCCTTCGTCTTGCATGGCACGCCTCCGGTACCTTTGACATCAACAACAAAGATGGTGGCTCCAACTACGCTACCATGCGCTTCAAGCCCGAAGCTGGCCACGGTGCCAACGCTGGTCTCGGAATTGCTCGCGAGCGTTTGAACCGTGTCAAGGACCAGTTCCCTGAGATTTCTTATGGTGATCTCTGGACTTTGGCAGGTGTTGCTGCTATCCAGGAGGCGGTAGGCTTAAAAAGAAAACTGACATGATTGATATAGAGGATGTACGACAATAATGTCTAAGGTAAAACGATGGCTGACCAATCCTGTGTTCTTTTCTCTTCCTCCCTTCCTACTTTTTCTCATGTAGGGCGGTCCCACTATCAACTGGAGACCCGGTCGTGTCGATGGTGAAGAAAACCATTGCCCTCCAGATGGTCGTCTCCCTGATGCTTCTAGACCTGATGGCCAGCACTCTCGCGATATCTTCTACAAGATGGGCTTCAACGATCAGGAGATTGTCGCTCTTTTGGGAGCACACGCTATGGGTCGCTGCCACACCGATCGCTCTGGTTTCGATGGTCCATGGACAGCCTCACCCACAGTTTTCACCAATGCCTTCTACACTGAACTCTTGGGTCGTACCTGGACTGAAAAGAAGTGGAAGGGTCCCAAGCAGTACGAGGACAAGGAATCCAAATCATTGATGATGTTGCCTGCAGATATGGCCATGGCTAAGGATAAGGAATTCCGCAAGTGGGTCGAAATCTATGCCAAGGACGAGAAGAAATTCTTTGACGACTTTGCAAAGGCTGCTCAGAAGCTGTTTGAGCTCGGTGTCAACTTTGATGAGAACACTAAGGTCTACCAATTCAAGCCTACCAACGCCTAAAAAAAAAAAATCTCATATAGAAAAAACTCGTACAGTGCAAAGCTTATTTTATAGATCTTTCACAGACTCCATCTCTTCCTCACATATTCATAGACTACTATTATTTATGCCTATTTCGCATCATTTCAAAATAAAGAAGCCAGCCTCATAGAAAGAAAGAATTTAAAATTGACATTCTCTCTGAAGTAGAAATCTCTTCACTTCTTTCAGCTGCACACATAAAATACATGAAAAGGTTTACATTGCGTCGATTGAATGGTTGTTTCCGACATCTGTGAAAATATTTGTAGCAGTAAAGCTAATCCAATGATCTGAGCAATAGCAATGACGACGATTTCTAGTCGAGTGTTTCGGAAGAATCTCTTAGATGTCAGCCAATGGTCAGGTCCAAGCTTCGTGAAGGGAGTATATTCTTCACTCAAGACAAATATACTCGAAAGCAAGAAAGGTCGTTATTGACGGCTTGTTGAAGCGTGTTTAACCAGCCATGAACGTATTTACAAACACCTTCACGCTGATCTAATCCTACAACGGATCCCTGCATTGCTGACAGTGAAATCATTTGCAGAGCTTGTTATTATATAGAACCTTGATCAGACACTCTACCCAAATCCATAGTCGATATCGGGGCGCTTTAGTACAGGAACGACAGTATTTTTTTTTTCTGATGATGTGCCCAGAGATGGAGTATCCAATAGCCTTGGGATGGAGAACATTTTCACGCGATCAACTTTAATCGCATCATATATACTCTCGCCATACGACGCCTTGTTCACATCTTTTGCCATGGTCCATAACTATCAAAAAAGTGATGTCCCTCCCAGCTGCGGTCGATTGCTTGGTTAGCTTCTATACTGATCTCCTTCACATCGGCTGCCTGTCGTTGTCCCATGATAGGTCCTAGGAAATCGTCTTTACGCTCAATGCAGTTCGCACCCGTCTGTGTGTTTACTTATAAACGTGGTATCTTTGGTTCCAGTTAGCACTGACTTTGGCAGCGTCCGTTCCAAAACCCTCCCAATTTCCTGGATATTCTTGGCAGGTCTACATGCTTCAAATATTAGAAAGGTATTGAAAATATCCCTTCTAGTTCTGACTATATTTTTGACACCAACCCGTGACAAAAACCCTGGACTGCTGAGAAGGCTCCTTTGCTATCGTCATTTTTGTGTTCTAATATATATATATATATATATTAACTGTGAGTTGGTGGCGCAAGTGCTTCCTGTTGAGTGCGCACGTGATGCATTTCGGCACAAGAAAGGGAAGCGTCCATGTAAGCAAGCGGGCCCTCTCATTCCTCTACATTTCTTATTTCATCATTTTCAATAGAAGCTTGTTTCTGTCATTATTTAATCTACTCAAAAAGACCTTGGCATCAATAGTATTATATTAACATTCGGCACTCGTTGGTTAGCCTGCATGAATGATTTGGGAGCTTTATATTAATAATATCGGCTCCACCCCGCCTTTTGTACACACACATACACTGTCTATTTTTATTCATACCTTTACCTTTGGGACCTTAAGCACGGAGAAAAAAAAAAAGGAGGGAAAGAGGATTCAATTATGTCAGCGCCCCAGGATTTTTCACCAGTGACTCAAGTGTTGGAGGCGACGCCAGCATCCTCACCACCTGAAGAGAAGGTTTCGGAAGAGCAGTTCAATAGTCTTCATGCATCGTCGGTTACATATCGGGATCTTTTGATCTTTGAGGAACGGCTCAAGCTGAATATGTTTAGGCTTAAGAAGCGGCAGCAGAAATATGAAGGTACGCCGCGTGTAACAAGATAATCTCTTATTCATAACTCGTATACCCGCCTGCCTCTATTCTCTTTCTCTCCTTCTTCCTTCCACTTCCCCCCTTTTGGAATTGGAAAAGAGATTCGGTTGCAGGATGCAATCAATATTTGAATGACTCTTTCTCTGGTTCTTTCACGCGTATTTTTTAATAATATAATATTATTATTGTTTTATAGCATTCTTGGGTTGCTTGATTGTTTTGATTGCATATTGCGCCTTTGCCACGTTTTATCAACCTAGTCAGGTACAAGTGTTGAAAGGATGACACAGTTCACGCTGAATCATACTAATTAAATGCATTGTGAGTCTACTTCTCAAAAACATTTTTCATCTGTTTAAATAGAAGATTCATTAACTGTTGTTTATTCTCGTATTTTCAATGTAGATATACTATATTCATCTACTACACAAATTCTTCTTGCTTCTTTCTGTAACGACGCTATTTCTCTTCTTTGCTACTGGAATGTACTCTGAAAAACTAGGATACTCTTCAAAGTACGTAGAGAACCCAAGATATCACCATTTGGCAGCTTTTGTTTAAATAATAGAATAGTGATTCTTACTTTTTCCGTGTG